GTAGGCATATGCAAATTAGCTCAACAAAGAACCACATTTTTGCCTCATAATTCCACTTTATACATGGATTCCTTGGAGTATTTTTTTGCTGTATACAACAGCTTTGAAACACAACTCAGGAAGAGGAGCAGAGCCAGTGAACCACTCATGGACAGCCGTTTCGTTGTTAATGCAACTCATCAGCATGAGGTTGGTTACTGGCTTGCTATGGAGGCTTGGCGTTACTTGTAAAGCACATACCAAAAGAGTTATATATAAATTAACCTAATGTTTAACTGAAAACACTACCATTCACGCAATCTTAATTTACATTAACTCTAGGGGATTTTAGCAAGAGCAGGGGTTTTTTTGCTTTTGAAAGAAGCTTGCTAGTCACAAGTCATATGTCACAAGCCACTAAAAGTGTCAGAATCCCAGAGGAGGTTCATGGTAGCTTGTTAATCTCCCTTGTTTAAAGGAAACAGACTAATTCACTTAAACATAATGAAAACCATTCCTTTAAATAGTAAATAGTTTCTGAAATTCTTTTTGGCTTCAGCCCATTTTTCTTATTTTCTGTAGAGACTGTACATACTAAACAGATCTTTTTAAACTTTGTTCACGTTTCATATTGTGCTAATAATTGTAACATTGCAGTTTTCAGTATTAGCTTATGGGAGCTTAGACATTGACATCAGCTATCAACAGAATTACAAATGCTATGCCAATAAACTATCAATTTGAAGAAATCTTCATCATAATAATAAAGTTTGGGACTTGATTGTCAGCTCACCAGAACACATTGTTTAGTGAATTAACCCTATATATTTATGATCATTGTTTCAACATGTGAAAATGCTTCCTTTTGTCATAAATTAAGATGGCTTTAAATTGTTATTCACTCCAACACTGAAATGGTTAACGCAGGGTTTGTTATTACAAGGCATAGCTATATAGTGTGCAACATTGTTCAAAATAAAAGGGAGTAGAAGAAACTTAATGTATAAATATATTGCACTTTGGCATAACTGTGAATGAACAGAAGTGAGTAAACTTAAGTTAAAACAACTCATGTAATCCTATTCTTCTTAAATTGGCATTATTGAGTCTAGATCTGTTACACAAAAAGTGACCCCTATCAATGCTACTAGTATATAACTATAATTCAGAACATTTGTTTCTAGAAGGGTTAAATGGAAAGTACCACTGAGAGAATAATGTCTGCCCTTAAGCAGTGAATATTTGTGTAGGAGAGGATAGTGTTATGGAGCTCTGAATGAAAGTGTGTATTGTTTGTTAGTGCACTTTATTTATTTTATATGATAATGCCACCTTTTCCAGCCTTTAACAAACCATTGTTATTACGTACACAATGCCCAGGCAAATACATAACTTATTGGATTGGATTGTATATGACCAGTGCAAGGCTTGTACTAGCAGTTATCGTAAGACCCTTGGTGATAACCGCTGCTGACAAATCGCTGGATTCATTTTGATAAATCTTTACGACTCCTATCTTGTAAGCTTTTATTGCTGAATTGGGAAGGCAATAGCTGAAACCCCAAGCTGTCCGTTATTTATACCACAATACAGAAATGCAAAGTCTTTAGAGTTTAATCACTGTATGGAATTTAAAAGAAAGGCCAAGAGAATTGTACATTTCAGGCAAAAATAAACAAGCTGGAACATTTGCTGACTTGTGGAATATATAAAAATTCAGCGATTTAGTACTAAAACGTACAATTCTGCTCTCTATTTTTTTCACGATCCCTACTTTTATTCTATACTAACCAAATGTAAATGTAGTGCGCCTCGAGCAAATTCTCATACAAAACATTAAAAAAACATTCAACTACCTTATATTTTGTTTATGAAAGGGAGTCTGTACTCCGGGGGAGTGCAGCATGCAATAAACACATTTAGATCCAAAAGGAACAAATCTGCACTTCTTTAGGGAGTTCTTCACTGAACAGTGTGGTGAAGTGACACACACGAATTGTGAAGTGAATGCTTGCATTTAAAAATTGTCCAATTATTCAATTGATTGAGTATGTGTGGATTTCCTATGGTTGGCTTTCCTTTGATAGTCTGTCATGTGAATTTCCTGCAAGATTTCCATTGCTGTGGATTTCCTGTAAAACTGATCCCTGCCCTGTGAATTTCCTATCAATACTGTCTATACTGTAGGTTTACTTAAGGGTGCTTAAAGGGACACAATAGGCACCCAGACCACTGCATCTCATTGAAGGGGTCTAGGTGCAGTGTCCCTGTCCCCCTGCAATGTAAAGCATTATAGTTTTTGAAATGATTGCAATGATTGCACTGCAGAACAAAGGCTGCCTAGGGGCGGCGGGGGGAACTATAGTGCTAGGATACAGCTTTGTATTCCTTACACTATAGAATCTCTTTAAAGATTGCTCAAGCAAACCAGTCTGTGCTGTGGGTTTCCTGCAAAACTGTCTGTCCTATACTTACCTGCAATGTAGACTGTTACAATGTGTGTGTGCTGTAGATTTCCTGTTACAGTGTTTGTCCTGTGGATTTCCTACAGTACTGTCCAAGCTATTGATTCCCTGTAAAACTGTATATGCTTTGTACTTGTAGTAAGTTTGTGTCTGTGCTGTTGATACCTTTTATGTCTGTGTCCTTATCACCTTTTTATTGGAAATTAACCCCTTAAGGACACATGGCATGTGTGACATGCCATGATTCCCTTTTATTCCAGAAGTTTGGTCCTTAAGGGGTTAAAGGGACACTATAGGCACCCAGACCCCTTCAGCTCATTTAAGTGGTCTGGGTGCAGTGTCCCTCTTCCCCTTAGTCATGCAATGTAAAATTAAATGTATTCCTTACACTAGTGTCTGTGGATTTCCTACTAGTGTCTGTGGATTTCTGTGAATATATGTGGATATATTTTTTTAATACCAGTAGAAAACCTCACACATTCTATGTGGATGTCGATTGTCCTCTGAGTAGAATGCAGGCAGCTCAAATTATTCCCATAGAGAAGCACTGGATTCAATGCTTCTCTATAGAAGCATTTGATTGGCGGAGTCTGGCGTTTACCACACATGCACTTTCTGTCCACAATGCTTCTGAAGGAGAAGCATTTAATTGGTCAAGAAGTCATCAAGCATATTGATGCAATTGGAGGTGGATGGGCTACAGGTAAGACCATGTCACGGCACTGGAAACAAAGTTAAGAAAAGGGTTATTAACTTTCGAGTTGGTATGCAGACTTTGTATCTCCAAAGCAATATAGGAGTTCCAGAAACACAATTTTTGTATTTGCACACAGTAAATTAACAAAGTTTCATTATTGTACAGTTGACATTACAACATTTTAAGCTTTGTTTGAGTTTACACACTTTTATTTTTTTTTTGTATTATGGAAGACTTTCCTTAGAGAACCTTTTCCAGTGCTATACTATTAACCATTAGAGAAAAGACCTTAATAGATGATTTGGAAAAATTATCCAGCTCAACTAAGTTTCCAGCTTGGCTATTTTGGCCTAACATTAACAAAACGAAAATCCTGGTGAATTCTCAACCTTTACCTGTTTAGTAAATAACCGTGAAAGCTTAGCTTAGTGACTGACCCCTGTAAACTATCAATGGATCCATGATTCTAGTAGACTTCAGTTCCCACACATTACAGCATATGTGAGGAAGAATGGTAGCAGTTTATTTCTCGTGAAAAGTCATTACTGGTTACACTGGTTGATAGTAACCCTTTCAGGGAAAAAATATTGGCCGTTCCTGACTACCATGGGCTCTGAAACTAAAATTATGTGATTGAACAAAGTCATTTTAATTTGAGACAAAACAGGATTCTAACCCTTCAGCAGTCATTTGAACAGTCACCGTGAATCTTGGCTGGAGATGCTGTATGAGCAGTGATTTATATTTCTCTGTGCCGTTTAGATATGGTTAGTGTATTTGGTTCTTGGAAATTTCCACTATTCCACTGTTTTATTACAACCCATAAGAACATCAGACTTCAGGCTGTTTTCTGTGCGGTTTTAGAAAAAGGAACAAGACTCCTTTAATGTGCAATATGAAACCGCATTACTCAAAATTAGCTACTTCTTGTATGGTCTCCCGTTTGCACTTGTTCCATCCCATCCTAACTCTCTATCTCTTTATGGTACATAGTTCCCACTGATTTCTTTTCCTGCCTTGACAGCAGAGCTGGGGCATATTAAAACTCTTCTAGCAGTCACATCCGGACATTACTGCTGTAAAGACCTACACAAGGAAATGCTTATTGCTGTATATTGTCTTTTTTTCTTCCCTTAACTGTTTAAAAGCCAATGGCAGCCTGTGATTTTGTAGCCAGAACATTCCAATTATGTGTAATTTTCTCATTTAAATGTATATATGTTGGGATTCTGTTTCAACACAACATGCTTCAATAAAGCAGCGAGCACTGAATCCTTGTTTAATAAATTAGAACGTAATAGAATTTACCATAAAGTAACCTTATAATAAGTCAATTTGAAATAACATTTTAGGCTTGGTGTAGACATTCACTATGCAGCATTCAGTGTAGTGTCTTGGAAACAAAATAGTTTAGAATCTCGATTGTTACATCTTTTCTTCCATCATAGCTCTGGTAGTTTTGGACCACACAAGCGAAGGGATCAAATTGCTGGCCCTTAAGCTTTTTAGAAGAAAGCAAATCACGGGTTGAACGATACATGTTTGTTTGTGGATCTCAGATGATATTGATATTACTGGATTATAAAACATTAGATATATAATAAAGCATTAAGAGTTATTTACAAAACTCAGATTGTCAGAAATTGGAATTAAAAATGTCAACCTAAGGGAAAACACATTTTCTGTTCTGTTTGACAGTGTAGTTATAAAGTCTTCAAAAAACAAATTTTTCATTTTTTTTCTTCACTTGATTTTAGTCCAGGCACTAAATATCTCTGTATTATTCTAAGACTGGCTGTAATGTAGCCTAGCATTGAATCACATGTGCATCTGTTATACCGCGTGTCATCTTTATTGCCTTAATACAAACACCTTTGGTTCCTAGTTGGTCTCCCATATGATTACTAATCATGCCCAAGTCTGGATGGATGCTAAGATCTGACAAGATCAGGCACTTTCAGACTGGTATGGCTGTACCTGCTTTTTTTTAATGACTAATATTGCTAAAGATTTACCGTTCTGCAAACAGTTCTACGTCATGCCTGCCTGTTGCGTAACAGGAAGATTCTTATTAGTAAATTGTCAATTTTAACAGTTTAATCAATTTTTGTTACTTTCTTGTCTCGTAAAGTTGTGTCCTCTGTTATACACTCAGACACACCAACAAAATGGAGCTCCTAGGAAAGAAGGAAATCAGGATTAGAATAGAGGGACGAAGGGAATTAAAACCAAAGTAATGACACTTGGGAGGTATGCACTTTGACAGTGATGAGGGCAACATATCGGGATTATCCATCAGATTAATACAGAGATCATGTTATAGATTATAGCAGGTATAATCATATGAGGAACGCTCTATAGCATTGTTGCCATGACATCAGTAAACCTTTGCCATCCATTTGCTGTGTTTTCTGACTGCTTATGGAATTTATGTCTCTATTTATCTGGAGATCAGTGTTTGAATTTACCTGCTTAAAGTAGAGTTTTGACAATTTATAGATCTGAATAAAAACAAATATAACTAAATGTTTCATCTATTGTTCTGTAAAAAAGACAAAAACATATAACATTAATTTGTTAACATATAACATTAAGATTAAACCGCAGAAAGTTTGTTCATATTTCCGTTTTACATGACATTTTGTTGGTGTTTTTTGTACCAGTGTATGTTTTGACTTTGTATAGATCTTATATTTCAACCACAAAGGCAACTGAAAACACAAGTAACTGCTGACTCAATTACATCGGAAAGTACGAACGAAGCATTTTTAATTAATAAGGGTGAAAAAATGCCATATAAATAGAAATGATTATTATTATATTTAATGGTCTATATTATATTTCAGCAGCATTTCAAATAAAAATGAAATGTATTTCTCTATGTTGCACACAAGAGGAAAGGTTACCTTCCATATATATCAGGATTTAAAACGTGGCACATAATTTAACGACCTCCGGGTGACATTTTAATAGAGTGCTGTGTGGGAGTGGTCCTATTCTTGGAAATGTTTAGCTATAGTCTTTTTCCTGTATATGCCATACGCATTGTATATTTTGTCCGTAGACACCACTCAGCAGGGACCTATAGACAAGATCGCCATGTTTATTTGATTTATTAAGGACTTAGTATGTGAGAACCAAGACATCATACCAAATATTATGTTTCATTATGTTTTTGCAACTTTTCCTGTGTTAACATTTGTAGATCGCTGGAGGCGAGCAGAAGTTCAGGATTTATTTTAAAAAGTGTGTGAAGCGTGACCTCCAAAATAAAAAAGGAAAAAAATCTACAAACACTTGTTAAGTAAGCCAATAACCTTGACATTCAGATGCGTGCGTAATCTATCATTTGCGACATTCAATAAAGATTGTTTTTAAAGCAAACTGTAGAAAGGCTAACACTTAAGGGACATTAGTTAGCAAGGCATATGGGAATTTAAATGTTTCCATTAAATGCTATTAGAAAACATAGTATGGGAGTTTTTGATTAATAATGTGTATAATAAGGTTATACACACTTCACTAATTGGACAAATAAAGGTCCCAGTACTCTCCTTTATAAGAGAGTAAAAAAAGAATCTGAAACTTTATTCATTTTATACTATGAGTAGGCAGCCTTCAGCACTCCAGATATTATGGACTACGTCTCCCCTGATGCTTTGACAGCATCTTGGCTGTATGAGTATTATGGGAGATGTAGTCCACATCTGGAGTGCTGACGGTTGCCTCCCCATGTAGTCTATATTTTAAAGCAATTATATTTTTGCAGATGGAGGTTGATGTACTGAAAAAAAAATGGTTCTTGCTCAACTTAGAAGTAAAAAATATGAATTATAATTAAAACACACAGTACATTGTACAACATCAACATTGACCATCTGTGTAGTCAAGTATGCGAGCACGTACTAACCAGCACAATACAGACTCAATAAAATGTGTATCACTAAGAAAAAGCAAATAAAGGATCTAAAACAGAAGCAACGATTAAAAGATTACTCTAACCACCACGACCACTTCTGCTTTTTGAAGTGGTTATGGTGATTGACATGAGTCAGTATGTGTAGTTCTTCACTTTGAAACATTGCAGTTATTGGCAATTATGCGCACCACCAGCAACTTAGGCAGTCTGGAACAGTCAATTCTGTGCATAAATTACAGACATTAAATAGATCTCCTCTTCCACCCTCTCCCTCTGTGCTCCCTGCACATTGTTTTTTTTTTTTTTTTAAATCTCCCTCCCTTCTACCCACTCCCTCCCCTCGCTGGCAACCTCCCTCACCTCCCTCCCATTGTGTGCGCATGCACTCCAAGCCAGCAATTGGTCGAATCACAGGCTCCTCTATGAGAAGACTGTGATTGGACTGCGTTGGAGGGAGGCGTGGAAGACCAACACTGCAAGATTCGCCTGGCGCTGGATTTAAGGTAAGTAAAACTTTTTTATTTCAGGGTTCACTGCACATTGAAAGGGGAGACCTTTCCCATGGCGCCCAGTAGGGCATATTACGCTGCAAAGATCCTCTCTTTTAATAGGGGTATTGTAACCCTTTAAAATTTGAACACATCTAAGTACAGTCGCCATCTGGGCCAAATCCAGAACTCCAGTTTAACCCCTTAAGGACACATGAAATGTGTGACATGTCATGATTCCCTTTTATTCCAGAAGTTTGGTCCTTAAGGGGTTAAAGCATGTGTTAGGATTGCTAGCATAACTTCTTTGTATCAGATTAGCTAGTGGAGGCCTGGAGAAAATTGCGTACTGGCGATATTTTTGTTTTAATTTTACTTGCCTTTTTCATAACGATGTATTGAAATACGGTCACACAATTAAAATGTTTGCTTGCATTGGCCCTGGAATTGGTATAAAACATTAGCCAATGCTGCTGGGTAAATTATCTGTAAATTGAATAACTCAAAGCAATTTTCAGTGTGGATATAAATACTAAGTACAAGTGGTTTGTAAGAGGAATTGTACAGATTTTGTTCACTGAACCTAGAATAATGGTTTAAAGTATATTAGCATGTTTGCTAGATCCTTAATGTGCTACTGAAAATAGTAATTATTCTGCACATTTCCCTCTACTGAATGAATGTGTTTTGGCAGGCTTACGTACCATGTTAATTTCAATTTTACTTAACTTATCAATAATTGTATATAAATTTGTAATGAATTATTAAGCAAATTGCCAAATTTTGGCAAAAATGACTGATTTGGATAAAAACACATTTTCGTGTTTATTGAATAGAGCTCTTTGAAGGAACACTCTAGTTGCCAGAACAACTACAGCTTAACCCCTTAAGGACCGTGGACGTACTAGGTATGTCCGGCAAAAATAAGTTTGCGGCAAATCTATTACTTACTCGATTGCCGCCGTTCCCTCGCCGGCTATCGGTGTTTCTCCCAGTCTGGGGGGACTGACTGACAGCCCAGACTGTCCTCCCTCGGCAAATTAGGCCCCTGCGTGCCATGTGATCACTCTGAAAGAGCGGTCACATGGCCGCAGTAGGTGTCTATAGTGCTGCCTGCAGGGGGACTGCCTGAACTGACAGGCAGTCTCCCTGCATCTGTAAAATAAAAAATAAAAAAATGTTATTAAACAAAAAATAATAATATTTGTTTATATATGAGAGATATATATATATATACATATATTATATCTATATATAATATATGTATATATATATATATATATATAAAATGTCATACTAAGTGTATTTTATTATTAATATATACATAAATTAAAAAAAATACACTTAGAGTAAAATTACACAAGTATATATATAATATATATAATAACTATATATATTGTATATATATTATTATAAAAAATAAATAATAATTAAAGATAAATATCTATTTTTTAAATAATAAAACAATTATACATACATATATATATATAATTTTATACTAACTGTGTTTTGATATTAATATATATTGGACTGTATTTTGATATTAATATATATATATCAGACTATTAATATATATTAATATCAAAATACACGTAGATATATGTATATATAAATTTTAAAAAATGACGAAATATATATACATATATCAATATACATAATTACATAAATAATTTCATAAATATACACGTAGACTTCAAATATATAAATATGTATATATATATATTTAAATTCTACATGCATATTTATGTAATATTTTTACATAATTAAGTAATCTTATTGATTGCAATTTGAGGGACCTGTCTGACATCCAAGGCCGAAAGTCCAGAAAATTTAATTTGCTAGCACTGTATTTAACCCTGTAACCTTCCGTGACACCCTAAAACCTGTACATGGGGGGTACTGTTTTACTCGGGAGACTTCGCTGAATACATATATTAGTGTTTCAAACCGTAAAACATATCACAGTGATGATATTGTCAGTGAAAGTGGCATTTTTAAAATTTTTCACACACAAACTGTACTTTCACTGATGATATCATCGTTGTAATACATTTTACTATTTTGAAAATAACCCAAGGTATTGCAAATGGGGTATGTTCAGTCTTTTTTAGTAGCCACTTAGTCACACTCACTGGCCAAAGTTAAAGTTCATAATTCATCATGTGAGGTATGATTCAGAGATTTATGACAGATAAAAAAATCTGTCACTATTTATAAATTGTTAAAATACATATTTTGAAACAGCAATGTCCTACTTGTACTTATACCCCTATAACTTGCAAAAAAGGTAAAAACATGTTAACATTGGGTATTTCTAAACCAAGGACAAGATTTAGAAACTATTTACCATTTTTGGCGGTTGTAGATGCGTAGCAGATTTTGGGGGTCAAAGTTAGAAAAAGTGTGTTTTTTATTTTTTCATCATATTTTAGAATTATTTTTATAGTAAATTGTATGATATGATGAAAATAATGGTATCTTTAGAAAAACAGTATATAATATGTGTGGGTACAGTAAATAAGTAAGAGGAAAATTACAGCTAAACACAAACACTGCAAAAATGTAAAAACAG